ACCTACACATTTTCTTTTTTTTACAACAAAAAATTATTACAAATTTTTAATTTTAAATCTTTTCAATTTTCAAACCTTCAAAAATGCTTCAAGAAATATTTAAATGTATTATCGATTTTACTTAATTCGTTAAAATAGCGATAGTGTAAAAATGTAGCTGGTAGCGATACAGGTAGACAAGGCCTCCTTGTGTATAATTCTTGCTTGCAGATCTAGAAAATAATTGACATAAGTAGATTTGTAATTTTTTCATTTAATGAATATTTTTTGGGTAGTCTTATTAGACCCACAGGCAATTCTGGAATGCCTACCTGTAGATAAATTTTTAATTACTGGGCTGTAGTAACAGCGTAAAAAAAAAAAAAAAAAAAAAAATCAATTCAAAAATTTCAGAGGCACCAAAAACCTAACTTATAATTCTGGACCTCAGAAGTCAAAGGTCGGTTGTCACGTTTTAGAAAATTGTTCAGGAGAGAGGAAATCGTAAAATAATTAGTCCATATATCAGATAAATGAAATCGTTAAAAGAATATTTAAAACCAAGGACGCGAAATAAACTTTAGTTTAGCGTAATTAAAAGAAATCATTAAAATATATATTTAAAAAAATATTTTATTAGGCAACATTTTGAAATCGACTTGAAAGTAAAAAGTAAATATATAAAAAAAAACTTTGTTTTACATTGTCGTAGGACAACAATCTTTTTACCTCTGTGTAGGTACTGAAAAAACTAAAAAGGTCTCATACATAACTCATTTTCATAAAAAACTGGACTACCAACCTGTCTACTGATGTACAGAATTACATTAAAAAGAATAAACGATGAAATTTTTTTTTTGATACCTTTCAATATTAATCTAGCGGGAATTGTAGTCAAAGAAAATAACATTAGAGCAGTTGTAAAAAAGAAGAACTGATGAAAAGTAGCTCCTGTGATTTAATACACGTTTATTACAAGGTCATTGTTATTATTAATCATAAAAACAATATAGCAGTGTTTTTTTTCTAAAAAAAAAAAGGTATCGGAACTCATCTGGAACTCATCATTAGCATATTACAAAAAATGACGACAAAGGTAACACTTTTAAAAAGATGAACGGCGTTCCGGTGCGTTTGAGAAGAAAAAACACACTGTAATATTTTACCCGCAAAAACCTGTTTTTAAGGTTAGTAATAAAAAAATTTATTCTTACCTTAATTGTATTCAACATCCTAAACTGTTGGATAATGATCAATAAAGTAAAGTTCAAATCATGAAAATTTACTAAATTCAAACCATATTTCAACAGTAGGCAACTAAAACAAAATAATGGCAAAAGTAGAACTCAATAAATATTAAGAAAAAAAAATCATAAAAAATAAAAAAACTCAAAACTTTTTAACTTTTTTAACAAAACCTTATAAGATAAATAGAATAAATAATAATAAAAGTATTCATGATAGCATCAAAAAAATATCATGTAAATATCCTATCAGTAATAAATAAAAATATCCTACATATACTCTATCTATCTATCTATCTATCTATCTATCTATCTATCTATCTATCTATCTATATATATATATATATATATATATATATATATATATATATATATATATATATATATATATATATATATATATATATATATATATATATATATATATATATATATATATATATATATACATATATATACATATATATATATATATATATTTATATATATATATATATATATATATATATATATATATATATATATATATATATATATATATATATCTATATATATTGATGTCAGGTCAGGTTTATCTTGCTACTGGTAACATGTAACCCAGCACAATCTGCTTCATGTCCTGCTGCCTTGTAGGATATGCCTTTTTAGGCAAAGGGTAGGAGATGCAAACTCCGACATAAAACACCCCCTGCCTTGGGGCTCTTGGTTGAGTAAAGGCTAGAGATAGTGTCTCAATAAAAATACTCATCTTGGGCAGATGTTAAATGCATCCGGCTGCTGTCTTGTAGAAGGCCTCCTAGGCAAAGACTTAAGGGGTAAACAGATTCTATCTGTTGACCAGCCTCGCACCCCTTCTTCATCTGTTAGACTGGCGCAGATGTATTTTTAATACATTGTTTCCAGTTTAAGATGTTGAACGCTGGATCTTCTTGACTCGATTCATGGGTTTTGCTTGTGTATCTGTTTTTATGACTAGGCAACTCATTCTATTATCTCCAAATGAGGGTACAGCTCTAAAACTCAGTTTTATGGTTCTGAGGCCGGCTGGTAGTCAGGTTTCCCGAATTCTGTGGTAGCTCTCAGAGAGGCTGATTCCATCAACAGCTGAAAAATATCAGAGTACTAACACTGCCATGTTGCGCATGGATGGTGTCCCTGTTTGTACTTTTGGTGTGCATTGCCAAGGCCACATTGGAGCCCTTTGTTACGGCTTAGGGTTTATTAGTGGAAATGTGGCAATTGCTTGAGCTATAAAACAGTGTACTGAGTACTATCAATGTTTCGAGTCAAGTTCTTTAACAAATTTAAAAATGAATAAAGTAAAAAAAACTATAAAACACAAAAAACCACAGTCATCACCAAGTTCGCTAAACCTATCATTCACCAATATTCGTGGTCTTCGAAGTAACTTTTTTTCTGTTGAGTCTTATCTCTTGCAAAGTTCACCAGACCTACTTGCTCTTTGTGAGACTAATTTGAGTTCAGCTGTGTCATCTTGTGATCATAGTGTTGATGGTTATCTTCCTTTAATTCGTAAAGACTCCAATAGTACATGCTTGGCCTGGTCATTTACATTCGCAAGAATTCACCCAATTGTCGGGAAACTAGGTTTGAATCCACAGGCTACTCTTTTATTTGCCTTCGTTTAGCACAACTTCACTCTATCACCTTTCTCTTTGTTCTATATCGCTCTCCCTCATCTCAAGACTGTACTCTTCTTGATGTTATTTCTGATTATATTGACCAAGCCCTCATTCTTTATCCATCAGCCAATATTGTTGTTTCGGTGACTTTAATGTTCATTACACTGAATGGCTTGGCTCTAGTGTCAGTGACTCTGCAGGCATTAAGACCCAAAACTTTTGTCTTTCTCTATCCCTAACTCAAATAGTCAACTTTCAAACTCGCTTTCCAGACAACCCGAATCATTTACCTTCTCTACTCGTTTTATGTCTTGTTTCTGATCCTAGTCTGTGCTCAGTTTCTTCACACTCACCCTTAGGTGTGTCTAATCATGGTTTGGTCTCTCTAAAACTATTATCTCATTCCTCTTTACCATCAGAATCCCCCTATCATCGTACATCTTACAACTACCTTAAAGCTGACTGGAACTCTTTCCGTGATTTTCTTCGTGATGGCCCCTGGGTAGAAATCTTTCGTCTCCCTGTTGACAAAATGTGCTTCTTACATAACTTCGTGGATTCAGACTGGCATGGAATCCTTTATTCCCTCTCGACAATTCCAGGTCAAGCCTCACTCTTCTTCATGGTTTTCCTCGCATTGTGCTGCTGCAATTGCCAATCGAAACCATCTCCTACCCTTCATCTTCTAGGATTAACTCTTATTTCTGATCTTTCTTGGAAACCTTATATCAAATCCGTTTCAAAATTAGCATCTGCTAAAGTTGCTTCTCTTTATCGAGCTCGTCACTTTCTTACTCTGGATTCTATTCTCTATCTCTATAAATCTCAAATCCGGCCTTGTGTGGAATACTGTTGCCATATCTGGGGCGGATCTTTTAATGATGCCCTTTCTCTTTTAGAAAAAGTACAAAAACGCATTGTAAACATAGTTGGACCTGCTCTTGCAGCCAACCTTCAACCTCTGTCACATCGTCGTAATGTTGCTTCTCTTTCTCTTTTCTACAAATACTATAATGGGCACTGCTCTAAAGAGCTAGCGTCTCTTGTGCCATCTACAAAAATTCATTCTCGTGTTACTCGTCATTCAATTAAGTCTCATCCTTTTTCTGTTACTGTTCCTAAGTGCTCCAAAAACTCTTATTCGTCTAGTTTTTTTCCTCGAACATCAGTTCTTTTAAATTCGCTTCCTTCATCTTGCTTTCCTGATTCATATAATTTGCAATCTTTTAAATCGTCTTTCAATCGTTATCTTGCTCTACAATCTTCATCTTTTCTCTTCCAGTAACATCCAACACTAATTAGTGGTTGCTTGCAGCCTTGTTGGAAACGAAGATAATTAAAATATATATATATATATATCTTTTTATATATTTATATATATATATATATATATATATATATATATATATATATATATATATATATATATATATATATATATATATATATATATATATACATATGTATATGTATATATATATATATATATAATGTAATCAGTATAACTTTAAAGGAATAAATGTGTCTATTCATCGGAATTCAATATATTTTTAAATTCCAGTTTTCGTGGAAATGCAGTTGCAAATTTATCTACAACAATATTCAAGTCAATTTCAATATCTCGATGAATGTGCAAAACGGCAACACCATTTAAACAACCATCCCCCATAATATTTCGAAAAGAAGTTTTAATTCTTTTTAGAGCTGATAATGATCTTTCGCATGTACATGTTGTGACTGGATTTGTGCAGAGGATTCGAAGTATAGTGGAAATATTGGGAAATGTATAAATGATATATCATCGCATTTTTGTAGTGAATATGAAATGGTTTTAGGAGTACTATCAGAATGATTTTTCCAGTAAACTTCCCACATATCCAACTTAGCATAAAAATAGTTTGGTTCCGGTAAATCGTTTTGGTATGTATGAACAAATTCTTTTACTTTTTTTTCTCCACTCCTTGTCAGAAATTAAATTAGATGGTATAATAGAGAAACTATCTAGCAATACTAAATTGTTTAAAGAAAATAAAGAATCAAGCTGTATCAGAATGTGATCAAGAAAAGGAATTGAACAAGTTACTCGATAATATTCACTTATATCATCTACTTAATGGTTATCACGTTGTATTTGTTAACCACATGTTCTTGGTTTGGATGGCATTGTACCAGTAGTTGCAGCTATGCTAACAGCTTCTTTGTACCATTCTGTGTGTGAAATATCCATAGAGCTCCGAAGAAATATAAGAGTATTCTTTAAATTTTCCACATCTTTACGAGCTTTTGAGAAATCTTTATCAACCTTTTGCAAAGTTTTAGTCAGTGGTCTTATATAGCCTAATAACTTCCTAACTATGATTAAGGGGATAATAAACTTAAAAGAACAACATATTGCCACATATGCAGAAGCATCACCTCTAGATTTGTAGTTCCATGTCACATCTTCTTTGATACAAATAAGAGATGCAACTATAGCTGGATATAATTCAATAAAAGCTTCAAGGCCATCAATTCTTTTAATCCACCTGGTTCTACAAACATTGATTGTCTTTTGAAAAGATGATGTCGGACATAGCTCACTGATTTTTGTAGATAGATCTTCTAACCTTTTTGGAGAATTATTAAAGAAATCAGAGATAAATCGAACATGATTCATCATATCTCGAAACGAAGGAATTGCACATGCTTTGGCAACACATAGATTAAGTTGATGGGAAAAGCAGTGGATGTATGGAGCTTTAGGAAAATCTTTTAAAATTAATGCTGCTACACCACAAAGATGCCCTGCCATGTTACCAGCCCCATCATAACCTTGCCCACGACAATAAGACATTTCCAGACCAAGTTTATGCATAATTTTCTTGATCTTGGTTGATAAAGAAACTCCACTTAAGCCAGAATTGCAAGAAACAAATTTTAGAAAATCTTCCTCGACTTTACAGCATTTATCTACATATCAAACAATTACAACCATTTGTTCTGTTTGGCTAACATCTAAAGCTTCATCAGCTAAAATGGAATAAAACTTTACTTTCTTTATTCTGTCTGTCAATAGGGACCAAACAACACCTGCACAAATATCAATCAACTCATTCTGCACTGTCTTTGATCGATAAGTAGCATTTTTAAGACCATTTTTAAAATGGTCACTCAAGATATTGTCACCACATGATGCCATCAGATCTAATAAGCATTGGAAATTACCTGCATTATTACATTGCTTAACTAGATGTTTGGCGTCATCTCTGTGTCCTCTAAGCAACAAAAAAGAACTGCACGTGATATTGAAAACAAAATTTGTCGATTTCTAGAAATATTATCAGATAGAAACTTATTGAGTTGCAAATTAATTGGAACGACTTTATTACTCATTACTGCTTGAAAATCAAGCATTATCTGGATTGAGGTTTTATGCATTGGAGAAGTGTTATTATGTGATAATATTCTTACGTTTTCAACTGACCAAAGCCGATATGGAAATTTATGAAATAATTGAGTAGGTAAAGAACTGAACCAAACAGGGTTACATTTACAACCATTAGTTTTAGGAAATATATAGTCAGAAGGTGGCACCCATACGTTCAATAGAAGATTATACTTCTCATGCTTTGATAATTTTTCCACTTTGTCTACAAACAACCCAATATCAAATTTGTTACATTCATCTTCTGTTGTTGTCTTTTCATAATTTACATGCAGTTTCGGAATTATGACACCAGATATCGATTTTTTAATTTATTATTTAATTCCAAAGATGAATCAGACACAGACAATGGTTTATTGTTCACAGAAAAAAAATTCTTAATATTCAATGAGGATATGGTCAAATTACTTTTGAACAAGTTGGGTATTTGAAGTGCGTTTTTCTCCAGTTACAACAATATTTTTTGCAGAATTTGAACTTGTTTGAGTACGAACTAAAATATTTCGAAATTCTCGCTGAGTGCTTTTAACAGATACCAGAAGCACATAGTGATTAAGTTTGAAAAAATGCATTTTTCCCATATGTGTAAGGTTGCTTGGATTTTCTTTTTTTGTGTCAACATTGAACAGCATCAAGTAAATTATTTGATTGGGTTTATCAAGTTTATTAAAAGACTGTGGGTACAATGTACTTCTAAATAGATATTCTAGACAGGCATCTCCTGTAGTAGGATAAAAATTTTTAAAGGAATCTAAAATAGAAAATAAAAATACAGACAACAATATTTATATTACAAAACAATAAAACTCAAATCAGTTTAAATGTTATATTATACAAATAAGAATATACTTTTAAAATATTTGAGATGGACATCACACAAACTAAAAATGACCAAACACCAGATTGAAAAATATTTAATGCCAAAATAGCATCCACTTTAGACTTCTTTGCCTCAAATGCAGTATATGCAACTTTTTCCAATTAAAGCAATGGAGACAGCAGAAAATAAACAATTGCCATCTTGAGGAGTTCTGGACATAAGATTAAACTTATATACATACACACAAATATATATATATATATATATATATATATATATATATATATATATATATATATATATATATATATATATATATATAAATATATTACCATATATATATATATATATATATATATATATATATATATATATATATATATATATATATATATATATATATATATATATATATATATATATTACCATATATATATATATATATATATAAAATATATATATATATATATATATATATATATATATATATATATATATATATATATATTACCATATATATATATATATATATATATATATTATATATATATATATATATATATATATATATATATATATATATATATTACCATATATATATATATATATATTACCATATATATATATATATATTACCATATATATATATATACATTACCATATATATAGCATGGCTAAATATAGGGTATTTAGGTTGTGGTGCATTGACTATAAAACAAGAGGTTTTACGAAGTTTAGGAACTGTTTTGATTGTAAATCAAGAACTTTTTGATTTGCTTCTTTAAAACTTCTTGAAGAAGTTCTTTTAATAAAGCAAATCTAACTCAAAAACTCATCCACTGCACTGCTCAGCTAGAAACCAACAAAAACTATTAAAAATATATTACCTGACAGGGACCATGGAATACGTTTTTTTGTCTATAAGTTTATCAGCATACAACCTTGCCAAACTTTTACTTGCTGCAGCATCTATAAAACCATCGGCTGCACCAGACAATTTATGCAAAATATATATTCCCTCAGAGTTTCGCTGGCAGAATTTGTTTAACTCGGCGGTGTTACATAGTTTAATCTGATCTATTAAAGAATGATTGTTTGCTTTTAACGCTTGATACAGCTCCATTACTTTCATTAAAAAAATTTTAACTGTATATATATTAATATAAAATCAACCAGGTATAATTTTGGTTTTTTGCTACACTTGCAACAGGTTCTCGGTTGATGACTTTTAATTTTTATATAAGACCTCCTTGTTAATAAAAAGATAATACTAAATAGGTATTCAATATTTTAAATGCACGGGGGTAAGCTTAGAGTTGTTTGAAATCATGACTAATTGGATTTTGTTACAGTTGCAACATATATTTTGCCATTTTATTTCACTCCCATTCAAAATTAAGTAGTTACGCTGCGAAATGTTTGACATTCTTACAAAAATTTATAAACATGAGAGACAAAACCCTATAAAAACTCGGGTTTTTTCTAGCGAAAATTTTATTTTCAATTTAGCGGCTAAAATTTGATCTAAAATTTTTCTATTATTTTGCATAAATATATATATATATATATATATATATATATATATATATATATATATATATATATATATATACAGGGGCGGGTTTAGCTTTTTAAAGAGGTTAGTCAAAAAAGTCGGTTGCGGATTTTACCGCCCCCTCCCCACGAAAGGACGGGGGGAGGAATAAAGATGAATTACAAAAAAAAGTACCTACCCCATTTGTTTGATAAATAAGTTATTTGCAAAGCCTTTAAAAAAGCGGCTCGAATGGGGTTGCATATTTAAAAAATAGACACAACAAACTAAGTAAAAACAGACTACTATAATATTATTAAATTACAAGTTTAATATATATATATATATATATATATATATATATATATATATATATATATATATATATATATATATATTTAATATATTATATATATATATATATATATATATATATATATATATATATATAGTATTAAAACTAGCAAGGATTTATTAAATCTACAAAAATAAAATATTGTCTGTGGTATTAAAATATTTTGTGGGCATCATTATTGTGTATAATTGTAACATATATAAATAATACACCTGTATAGAATATAACAAATCATTAATTAAATAGGCAAAGTTTGCATAGTTAGGTGACTTGCAAATAGAATAACAACTTTGTAAAAGTAAACAACTGCAATAACATTAATACCATAATTATAAAAAAATTATAATGTAATTTATTAGTATGACTATCATACTATGAGAAATGCAATAACACAAAAGCAATAATATGATAACTAACCATAAAAAACCATTTTTTTATTTTACTCTATTGATAGTTATGTTATATAATGTTAAACAATTGTAATATTAATGTTCGTAAACAAAGTTATGCTTACAGTTAATGTGTTGCATGTGTTTATTTTCTCTAAAGTGTTGACTAATGATCAATAAAGTAAACTTCAAATAATGAAAGCTTACTAAATTAAAACCATATTTCAACTCAAATAATCACACATGGTAGAATCTAAAGGTAGAGCTGAAAAAAAAAAAAAAGCATATAAAAGACAATGTATATAATGCTCTTAATTAAAATATCAAAGTTACAGTACATAACGGTACCAGTTTTGATTAACAATTGACAGGTAAAACTAAAGATAATTAGAAAAAAAAAGAATACAATAAAAATTAGACATGTTTAAATTTATAAAGATAATAAAATCTCATGAAAAATAAAGTAACAACTAAAATAAAATAAATAATCCTTTTAAATAAATAAAACAATAAAAAATAAAATAGTTATATTTTTTAATTTAAAAATTATACAAACTTTCTATTTGAAAAAGATCTTAAAGATACTGAATAAAGATTTGTATATACAGTGTATATACAAACCTTTATTCAGTATCTAATTTACAGCGTAAAAAACACATAAATTCTTCCCTAACATCATAGGAATTGTCTATAAACCTAATTACTAAAGACAATTATTCCAGTCAGAAGCTTCATCAGCAATAACTGAAAAAAATTGATTTTCTTTTATTTCAGAAATCAAAATATTTTGGATGTACTTTCCACAACAACTTAGTAATTCATTCTGTGAGGAATTAGAAATATGAGATGCATTCTTTGCACAGCTGTTAAGATAAAGTTCAAGAATTTTAAAAGTTCAATAAAATTACCTACTCACTAAACCCACTAAAGAATATTTGCCAATGACCATCACAATGACTACTGAAAGCTAAATTAAGTTGACCTAAGAAAATGATTTTCTCACAAAACAACTTCTTACAATTTAAAGCAATCTCCTTTTCATATTCTTTATTAAAATATCTATATTTTAAATATTTCCATTCATAGTATTTACTGCAGAAAATATGGTCCAGGCATTATAATGTAGAATTTGTACTGCGTGATGATGTTCATAAATATTTCAGCTGAGTGATATTCATAATTATTCCCGTTTTTCCCATGGTAATGTCTATTAAAAGTGCTCACAGCATCTGGTCTATATTTGAATGACTGAGAATACAAATTTTTAAATCTAGAAGCTTTTGAAGGGTATTTATATCTAAACAAAACACAACACAAACAAAATGCTCTATCTTCAGAAGGCGAATATCTAAGCCATGAAAATTGCTTTAATGATAAAAGTTTTTAAAGATTGCCCATTTGTTTTTGGAAAAGAAGTTTCATCAGGAACAAAAACATTTTGAATCAAATTTTATATTTGTAAATCTTTCAAAGTAAAAGCCTTCGAACGAAACAACAAACTGTTAATTTGTTGTTTCAATATCTGATGATGAACATAGAATACAAGGTTCAATATTAAGATTAAACATAAATTTATATTTTAGGAGAGAACTGTTCTATAGTAACACTAAATTCTTGTAGAACACACAGTTGAAAGAGCAAGAACACAAAAAAACACAGACCATATACACATATGAAATGTTTCTTCCTTAACAAGGTCATTTTTTAATTTTCCTGAGTCTATAAAATGTGTGGATACAGACGCTGCTAACAAATTATCAATCGATGAAAACTCATTGGATACATTGAGCACAAGCTTACAAACAATGGATGATTACTGTAAAAAAAGGCATTTAAATATAAATCAATTGCTGTCAGTATTCTTAAATCCATTGCCAGACTATTATCACCACACAGATAAATCCAAAATGAGATTAATAAGCAATTGTCAGTTGATTCAGCTGAATCAGATCTGATCAGATCTGTAGCAGAGCTGTAACTGATCACTGTAACTGATCACTGTAACTGATCACTGTAACTGATCACTGTAACTGATCACTGTAACTGATCAGAGCTGAAACAGATCTGATCAGATCTGTAAAAAGAGCAATTAAAAATTTTTAGAGTAAAAAAAATTCTACAATAAACTCAATGGAAAATAAAATTGGATTTAATCATTTATTTACAATAAATCAATTTGGTAAAAAGTTGAACCAATTAGATCAAGGCCAAAAATGTATTTCATAATATTATTACTATATAAATTTACATCCCCAAATGAACAAACACAGGGATAATATGTTTACAAATTTTAAATGTAATTTTTTATTTTAATTGTTAGGATAAATAAAGTAAATCTTACTTCACCGCCTAGTTGTTCTTGACTCATAACTTACTTCATAACATCTCATTTTTCCAAATCAAATGTTTTTATATGAGAGAATGATTTTAAAACATCCGCTCATATTAAAACATTTAAACTTTACTTGTACATTATTCCTACCTTTTTTAATTATATAATTAAAAAGGTATATTATATTATAATATAAAAAATATATATATCTTTTTCCATGTTTTATTATAAATATATAATTGTATATAAAAATATATATTGTACTCACTGTCTTAAAAATGTACACTTTAACATTAATTTTTAAAAAATTAGTTTAAAACGCTACGTTCGTTGAAATTTAGAAGATCCTGTATTCAGAAAGCGTCACTAATTTACCGAATAGTCGGTAGCCGCAAATTGATGAGAACTGTTATCCGGTTTTTGAAACGAATAACCGACAAAACCACTAGTCAGAACCAATTAGAACTAAGATCAATAGTAAATTAAAGAACTTTTTCAAAAGATTTCAACTAAATTCATGTTAACCCTGATGAGCAGAGTTGATCAAAAGACGCAAAAATGGTGTTCCTTAGATTCACTACTATGGGTAGTAAAAAGGTTTAGAAAATTATATATTTAAATATATATATTATAAAAAAGGAAAAGTTTCCCTAGATATTGAAAAAACCTAAAGCAAAAAAAAATTATAACATTTGAAGCTCTTTTTTGGACATAATACGCTGAAAAAACCATGCTTATACCAAATAAACGAATTAGAATAACTTGTAAATTGCCTTAACTACACCGAGAAGGGGAATAAAATATGCAGCTTATTAAAATCTTGAAATACCTTGATGTAAAGACTCAATAGCATTAATTTCTTCAGCACAACAATCAACCATAAAATATAAAGGATTCCAATTAGGATTCCATTCTTTTATTTTAGCAAGACCACTTTGAATATTTTTCGTTGACTCTCCTTCACAAATAAAGGTACCTACTATCTGATAATCGACATTTGTTTTTACAACAAGAAAAAAGAGTGGTAAAGAATATTTTGTTGTTTTGTAAGTGGCATCCAAAAGGGTAATTTCATTGCCATATATTTTTAACAACCTCTGCATTTCTTCAGTTTGATAAACAAATAAAAAACTATTGCTTAATGCTTCTACAACAATCTCATCCTCATCTTCGGTGCTTTCGACAGCTGAGCATTCAACTTTGACTGCATCTATATATATAAATATGTTTATTTAAATGTATGTGCATGTATGAATATATATATATATATATATATATACACATATATATATACACATATATATATATATATATATGTAATATATATACTCCTAGTCGGCGTTTATGGGGATATGTTTTTTTTGTTCTCGTTATGTTTATTGTTTTTTACTTTTTTTTATGATTTTTATCATATTTATATATACTTTGAAATTTTTATTTTATTTTAATTGTTAAATATATCTAAATTTATTATGAAATATATTTGTTATATTTATTTTTGAAATTTTTTTCTATTTATTATGTATTATATTTCAGATTATTTCAATCTATTTACAAAATCAATTAATTATAGTAACGAAACCATATTTAAACCTTGTTCTAACCCTAACCCTATACACTTGATGCTGACCCTAAACAAATCTTCAGTCAATGTAGCAACACTCCCTTGCGAGTCAGGCTATATGACAGGGGTGGAAAAAACACATGGTTTTTAAAAGAAAACCTTACCCAAATGGGTTTTTTTTAAAAACCGATCAAAATACCAAATTTTTATAATTGTTTGAGTACAATAATTTTTTTTTTAATTTCATAAATTCACCTCCCAATTTGCTCCAATGACCACTTCAGTCAAGGGAGCAACTCATTTTTTAAAAAATATTTTGTCTCAATCATTACCATTTTTACTAACAAACAGCATTAACAACTAAAATTTTTATAAAAGGCGTTGTGCGGAGAAATAGATTGAGGTAATTTGAACCCCTAGCTTCTGATTGCAATGCAAATGTTTTACTACAAGTCTACTAGCACATTTTACCCGTAGTGCAAAAGGGGACTCCATCAACTATAAATGATGTTAATTAATTGCATTAAATTAAAAACATGTTCACAATATTTTTGACTAAAAAAAATTACTATAAAAATTATTATGACAATTGAGTTATTCAAAGTTAGTAAGACAATATAAATGTTGCAAACTAGTTTTTTTACTAACATGTTCAACATATCATTTCATAAACTACTTTGCACAAGCTTACAACATGTAATCAATAAGTTTGCAACATGTTGCAACCTTGTAAGTTATTGTCAATCAGGATGACTATGAACACTTTTTAAGCATTTTTGTATCATAGAAAAAAACTGTTAGCCTAATCACTCAATTTTTCTCAATCTTTTAGAGGTCAGGTCTTTGTATCAAATAATTTTTATCAGGTCGGTAAAAATTATTTAATACAAAGATCTGACCATCTGAGGTCGGCTATTTTTTGCCAACCTAAAACACTTTCAGGTCAGCAGTTAGGTAAGCATTGCCGAATGCCGACCCTAATTATGAGGGTTAAATATTTATACATATATATACATATATATATATATATATATATATATATATATATATATATATATATATATATATATATATATATATATATATATATATATATATATATATATATATATATATATATATATCTTAGGTTGGCTCATAAAACATCATTTATTGAAATTGTCTGCTGGTACCCCAAAATGTATTCTATGTAATAAACTAATACTAAATTAAAAAAAAATTTGAATTAATTTTTTTTTAAGGGTTGCTTCATTACTTGAACAAGAGTCTTAAAAATTAGATTTGTTAAATGTTATATATAAAAAAAATATTTTTTAAATTTATGTTAACTTGGGTCTTATTAGAAACCAAACTTAAAAAATAATAAACCCTATGAAAATAAATATAAAAAAAATATGAAAAATTCTTTTTTTTTTTTTTAGGTTTCGTTAAAAAATTAGTGCTAGATTTAGAAGTCTGATTTTTTGAAATTAACAATTATTTCAAATTTTGAAATGTAATGCAATAATTTATAATTGAGACTTTAATTTAATGAAAAGCATAAACAAGGTTCTACAGTAGTCTTATACAATTTTAAACATGTATTAAACAATTATAAACATGTAACTACTATTCATGAAATACAATCCTTTATTTTCATGAATAATGTGTATATTCACACATTATTCATGAAAATAAAATATTGTATTTAAAAAAAAAAAAAAAAAAAGAAACAGTTAGTATCTGGGAGCCTTATTTTAAATACATTTTTTTTGTAGAAAATAAAATGTTATCAAAATAAAAGAACAGTTATTTATATATCGCATTTGAATTTTTTTTAAGTATTCACCCTAATCTGCACAACAAAAAAAATCTATAAAAGCTTTTTTAAATATAGTGTTTAAAATAAATATAGTGTTTTATTATTTAAACATGCACAAGGAACACAAGGGAAAAATATATTTACACATTTAATTTGTATATCTTGGTGAAAATTGAAGTTAAGTAAAGAGAGATTACAATAAAATACTAAATACATACAATTTTCACTTATCCCTTTAGGTCGAAGGTAAAATCTTCTGTGAGGATTTTCAACTTTCCATTGTTCTACTTTTTTTATAAGACATTCTTGGTCAATATTTGAATACCTTTTCTTTCTTATTGCTTCCAACATGTAAGAACGAATAGTTTTTTTGGATGGGAAGAACCTTTTATTTGATTTAGATGGACATATACTATTTTTAAAAATTTCTCTTGTCACAATGATTTCTAATCTCCTACGCATTTCATCAACACTAGTTATAAATTCAGACGATGTAAATATTTCTTCTTTTAATCTTGCATCAATTGGCTGGGATATACCAGCAGCCTTGAAAAAAAAAAAAAAAAGAATCATCAGAAAATTTAAACAAAAAATGTAAAAATCTGAAGATAGTTTAAAGGGTGGTTAGTTTCAATAGAAAAAAAAAATTAAATAAAGGGAATAGTCACTTGTTGAGTGTCTATAATTAAAAAAAAAAGAAATTTTAACAGAAAAATGATTAAGATATAAAGTAAGTAATAAAGAAATTAAAACATCAACACTTGACTTTAACACTGAAATAAAGGAAATAAAAATCAATTGTAAATATATCAATATAACTTTATACAACTTGTGATTAAAATTAGTTATTGGTAAAATCAGATGTTATAAAAATTACTTACATTTCCAGTAAAGTGTCCAGTGTGAGAACTCATTGATGGAAGAAAAATTAAAAATATTTTTTGTCCCACTGCTTCATTTTTTGAAATTGCTTCTCGAATTTTTTTGGAGGAGGTTACTCTTTTCCATTTACTATCTTCTATAATCTAAAGAGATATTGCACTTTAAAAAAATTCACTAACGTAAACTAGTATTTTTTCAAAAAGCTATTTAATATTTTTTAGAAAGAAAAAAAAAAAGATTCTTTTGAATCATTAAGCAATATAATATTATAGGCAAGGGAATTAGGAACCCTTTTACTAACATTTATTATTCAAATATTTATTAATGTTAATTTATTATTTTCTAAATTAAATAAAACTAATTTAATTTAAAAGAAATAAAACCTTAAAATCTGGAAATTTTAAAACTTCTTTGATCTTTATTTGTGAACTACAATTAAATTTCTTTGTGTCCTGGGTCATTTCATAGCTTTTAAAGTAACTGTGATCAGATACCTATTATTATTGTTATAAACATTTAGTGTATATTGTATAAACAAATATACACTACTAAATATAGTGTATAAACATGTATTTTATCTATAATTGAATCATTTAAGTTTTCAAATTTATGATATACTTATATAATATATAACTATAAATAAGTATATGATATACCTTATATAATTATTTAAATATAAGTAAATATTGCACATTCAAGATACCTTTCTATCATTGCAACGCATTTTATATTCTTCTTTAAAAGATACTTTTCTATCTCTTCCATGCATACAGTCAAAGACTTTACTTCCTACAATCACGAATGGAACACCATTAAAAGGTACAGAGTCGTCCTCCCATCTTATTTTATGGTGTTTGACAGAAGCTTCTTTAAACATATAAAAAAAAACATATTTAAAAACAGGATAAACAGGATATTTACTAGATTTTTTATTAAAGTTATTTATTACTCGTTTTGCTTAATACTACAGGAAGAACTATTTTGTTTTAAATTTTAGTTAGATATGTATAAAGAAACCTATAAATATCACAAAAAAAAACAATGTGAGCAATATCTTGGCAACTGACAAACTTTTTCTTACCTATATTACCAAAGTTTTTGTCAGCAGAATAGCATGAAAACTTTGACACAGTTTCTGTTTCATAGTTTTGAATTAAAGCGAGTATTTCCTCGTATGATTCTGCACATATCCACTTTCCTTCTAAAAATATCATATACTAATAATTACTTTAATAACTCAAAATAATAAAAATAAAATAAAATTATCAATTTTGGAAAAATAACAAATCCACAAAATACATAAAATTATATAACATGTATTAAAAATTATATAATACCATAAAATTATCAAATTACCATTAATGAGATTAGATTCTTGTAACAAACTTAAACTCTTATCGTCTCCCGATATCTTATCATATGAAAAAGAAATATTATCCATTTTACAGTTATTATTTTCTACTTAATCCTTCAAGTTAATATAATCCTTTCGGCTATATAAAACAAACAAGAAAGCATGGCCAAAATTATTAATAAATTTAATTATACCAACAAAAAAATAATTATTCATGTAAAAAATAATTATGCGAAATAGATTTACGAGTTTTGCGGACTCTAAGACACCACCTGACTTTGCGGTATGGAAACTTGCACCTACCCACTGATCTCAAAATATAACTGG